TCTCCATCGGCTGTACTTTTAATGGCAGGTTATTACATTCCATTTTTAAAAAAATGTTGGCTTTGTTTCACTACTGCTTCAGAAGATTTTGCTTCCTATAATCCTTTGGTCTAGTAAATTTTCATTTGCTCTGATGAACTAGAGTACAGAGATCTTTGTACTTTCTCTTCAAAGAGTGGACAGTTAATTCTGTGCATTTTCTCTGCTGCTCATTGAAGTCATTCTCTGCTTTCATGCCTCTGTGTGAGATATGAAGTCTTTGTCCTTGTCCTTTAAGAGTATGCTCTGAGAGCTTCCACAATTGTGAAGTATAAATATGTAAGTTTCTTTTTTTTTTAAGCTTATGTCTGCTGCTTTACACTCTGTTCATTGAAGCTGTGACTTGTTATTTATAAGAATTTTTTTTTTGCTACTTAGTAGCAGTTTGCTAGGTCTCTCAAAGTTCTTCTAGACTTCTCCCAACTACCAGGAAATTGAGAAAAGATTACTGTGAAAGAATGTATGAAAATTCCTCATTCACCTCTCTCCCCTTTTTTTTGTTTGAATTGGAGCCTCACTCTGCAACCCAGACTGGAGTGCAGTGGTTGCTCCCGGCCACCACAGCCTTGACCTGCTGGGCTCCGGCGATCCTTCCTCCTCAGTCTTCCAAGTAGCTGGAATTACAGGTGCACGCTACCACGCCCAGCTAATTTTTTGATTTATTGTAGAGATGAGGTCTCGCCAAGTTGCCCAGGTGGGTCTCGAACCCTCAGGCTCAGGCAATCCACTCACCTCAGTCTCCCAAAGCGCGGGATTACAGGCCAAGCCACCGAGCCTGGCTCACCCGTCTCATCTCAATTGTTATTGATCTCTTTCTTGCTTCTGAGTGCATTGAACTTTTGGATGGATTTGACATTCAATTCCTGGAGGCAGGCAGCTGGAACAAATGATATCTTGATGTTCCTTATAGTTCTACAAATACACTTTTTTTTTGGTCAAGGTCATGCTTTGTTGCCCAGACTGGAGTGCAGTGGCATGATCATGGCTCACGGCAGCCTTGACCTCCTGGGATCAGGTTACCCTTCTGCCTCAGCCTCCTGATTAGCTGGGACTACAGGCACACACCCCCCATGCCCACCTAGTTTTTTGAGAAAAAATTTTTTTTTGAGTCACATTCTCACTCCATCACCCAGGCTGAAGTGTAGTGGCACACTTATGACTCACAGCAGCCTCAACCTCCTGGGCTCAGGCAATTCTTCTGTCTCAGCCTTCTGAGTAGTTGAGACTACAGGCATGTACCACCTCCATGAGCTTGACATCCTCCAGGAATTTCTGCATACTGAGCTATAGGAAAACTCTTCCAACCCAGTTTTATATGTATATAAAATTATATACATCTATATTTATAGTTATATATGTATATATGCATATATATTTATATACATATATACACATATACCATAGTTTATATGTTTTTTCAAAAAATTATCAGCCATGTTTATGTGTGTATCTCTTAATGTTTTACAGTTAGTATAACTACAGGAAATAGTATAGCAGCAATTCTTCTTAATGTGACTATTTCTTTATGTGCAATTGCAATATACAACTGTATAAAAACAACCTAATTCAGCAATAAATTTTTTCCTAGATATAACTATTTTTAATTATACATTTTGTGAAATACTTAAAATGCAAAAGATAAATGAATAATACTAAGATGATACTTAGATTGTTTCATCATTTTTATTTAACTAATAAAAGATTATGTGATATTAACAAATATTTAATACCGGAATTTTTAATTAGCCTCAACAATATCCACATTTAACCATGTTTGTAGTTGGCCACTGTCAAGTCTGTCTAATTTTAATATCCTGTGATCCTCATAATATTACACTGCTAAAGGATTCACATTAGAATGCACCTGGAAGGGAATTAATAAAGCATTAAAAATACAGCAGGGTTAATGATAAAGTACTTGAGGTAGGCATATCAGTATATTTTCATCCAGTAGACATATCTACATGGAAAGCCAAAATATAATCATAAGATTGCTTGTAAGCATGGCATCACAGAAGGAAGAGTTAGTCCTTAGTGGGACAATCTTGAAGGTTTTGTTATTAAACCATTTCATCTTGGTTCATTCAATTCCTGATAGGGAAGACCTACTGCATATCTCAGACAAAGAATGATATTCAGAGGCAGTGTTGGAGCTTTATTATAAAATCTGTACACTTCTTTCTCCCATCTTCCACTCTTTATAGCAAATTATGCTGAGCATGGTAGCTCACACTCATAATCCCAGTACTGTAGGATGTTGAGGTAGGAGGATCATTTAAGGCTAGGAGCTTGAGAATAGCCTGGGAAACATAATGAGACCTTTGTCTCTAAAAAAAAAAAAAAAAAAAAAAAAAAAAAAATCACATACCTGTAGTCTCAACCACATGGAAGGCTGAAGTAGAAGGATCACTTGAGCCCAGAAGGTCAAGGTTGCAATGAAATGTGAAGAATGTGCCACTGCACTCCCACCTGGGTGACAGAGTGAGACACTGACTTAAAAAGAAAAAAACATTATATATATATATCTATATATACACATATATGGGTATATATACAGAGAGAGAGAGAGAGAGAGAGAGACAGAGAGACACAGAGAGAGAGAATGAAATCCACTCCAAGAAGAATAAATTATCAAATACTTTCAAAAATTTAACAGATGTATTTTGTCTATGCTTATTAGAGGCATATTAATTTAGCTAACCAAATAATTAATTTAAAAATCAATAATTTTTAATAGAATTATCAGAGGTAATATCTATCATATCTACCAAGTTTTCTTTTCTTTCTTTCTTTCTTTTTTTTTTTTTTTTTTTTTTTTAGTGTTTGTTGCAAACTTGAGCCCTCTTCCTTCCATCATTGCAGCATAAAGAATATAAGGGAACAGGAAAGTGGTGTTGGTAACACATTCAGTAAGAGCAAATATATTTAAGATTAAGCAATAACACTTTTGTTAATCTTTCAACAAAACTCGCTGACTCTCTAAGACTGTAAGAGTGGAGATTTCTCCTTAGTATGATTTTAAGTGTATGATGATTATGCCACTTTGAATTTGACAGTATAATTTGACTTTATTAATTTAAAGTTGTAAAGCAGTCTTAAGCCATGATTTTATATGACCACATCTCATCAAAGCAAAAGTTACTGGTTGGGTAAATACTTTATATTCCATAGATAAAATGGTGATAAAAGTAGACATCTACTTTGAGTCCATTTCTGTCAAAAGAAGGCCTCGGAGGAAAAATGCCATGCTTAATTTGAATACTTCCAAAATCTGAGATATTCAGAGCAGTATAGTCTTCAAACTTCATAAATATCAGAGAACTTCAAGTTTTGATCTCCTAGAAATTGCTATTCAATAAGTCTACCTTACAGAGATGGGTTGTAGTAATTAAAATATAGAAAATGCAAAGTCCAGGGAAGATATCTGGCTAAGTGAGTTGAGTTCCTTAACAAGTAGCAGGTCACTTATTAGTTATGTGACTTTGGAAGGCTTCCTTATCCTTTCTGGGATGTGGTTTCCTCAATATGTAAAATGTAGATAATAGCAAGTGCTTTTGTAACGATTGCTAATGGGGTGTATAGCAGACATTTAAAATATGCTAGTTCCTACTTTTTTTTTTGACATTTTTGACTGTGAAGGAATGGGAAACAGATGTTCAAAGTAAGATACATATTTTATATCGTAATCTCTTAACCCAGTAAACACAGCATAGATAATCAAAACAGAAGTTTAACAAAATAGTTTTTATTTATCATATTATGGCCATGTACTGTGTATTATTACTAATTGTCTGCCTCCTGCTAGAACATAAGCACCACTCGGGTAGAGGTATTGGTCAGTTTTTGTGCACTTGTATATACCTAGAGCTTAAAACAGTGTTTGGCACCCAAGAAATAAAAAAAATTTTTTTTGTGCTAATAAGTAAAACAAGGAATGAGCGAACTGTAGCTTCCATCACACAATGGTGTTAAGTTCTTCAAAATGCTTTTCTTATTTATTCCACAGATAGAAATTATTTATATGATTATCAACATTGTTGGTCTTAGATATGAAATATGCAGCAGAGAGAATGTCATATGCTTTTAAAGTTTCAAACTTTAATTTCGGGCCAGATGTGGTGGCTCAAGCCTGTAATCCCAGAGCTTTGGGAGGCTGAGGCAGGAGGATTGCTTGGGGTTAGGAATTCAAGAACGACCTGGACAACATAGAGAGAACTCCTTTCTAAAATAAAATAAAAATAAAATAAAATAAAATACATAAAAAATTAGCTTGGCATGGTGGTGTGTGCACCTGTAGTCTCAGTTACTAAGGGAGTTGAGGCGCACAGGTGTTGGAGGCTGCAGTGATTTCTGTTTCTAAGGAGGATGACAGGTAAAACTTATCAAGGTGCTCATGGATCCGAAGTATGGTACTTGTGGTGGATTGATTCTTGGAGTCCAGCCCTAGCCTGGTTTGGTAAGTAGCAAAGGAAGACAACCGCAGGATCTTTTCTTGAACAATCTCCTGATGCAACTGCGTTTACAACTTTCAAAGCAGCACCCGGGGGAACTTTCGGTCAGAGACTCCCACAACCTCCATTTGTTCCCAGTCCCTGGCCTCGGGGACCCATGGCCGGCTGAGGGCGGACTCTGGACGAGCGTAGCGAGCTGCGCACTCGCCTCCTCACCTGGCCGCGGCCGGGGCGCACGCCCACGCCGCGCACTGGGGTTGGCCGGGTGGCGACAGGTGGGGCGTAGCCGACCGCCAAGCCCACGGCCTGCGGCGCTGACGCCCGCGCTGGCGACAGCCGCGGGCGGCAGGAGGAGGGTCTAGGCAGCAGGGAGATCATTTACAAGAAGGAGGGCGGGGGGCGAGGAGTCGTGCCGCACCGGGGCGCCGTCACCAGCCCGGTGGCGGAGTCAGGGAGGAACCTGGCTGTTGGCTGCTCAGGGGCCCCGGAGTCGGAGAACCCATCCTGACCATGATGGGCGCCAAAGGCATCGCGAACCCGGCTTTCGTCCCGTCCAGCCCGGACACCCCGCGCCACTTGTCTGCCTCGCCCTCCCAGGTCCAGGTCTCCGCCCCGTCGTCCGACCCCCGGGGGGAGAATTCGGAGCCTCAGGAGCCCCAGAAGCCGTCGGAGCCACCTCTACCTCCAGCCGCTCCTCCTGCGTCCCCAGAGCGGCCCGGGCCGCCGTCGCTGTCCGAGCTCGAGGAGGGGCCTTGCGGGTGGAGGAACTTCCACCCCCGGTGTCTCCAGCGCTGCAACACGCCCCGAGGGTTTCTGCTGCACTACTGCCTCTTGGCCCTCACGCAGGGTAAGGTCCAGCGCGCTCCCGAGGGGGCGTCGGCGCAGCGCAGAGCCAGGGGGCGCGGCGAGCCGCCGGGGGGTGTGGGCAGGGGCGGCGGTCGCGCGGTGCTAGGCGGCCCTGGGCTTGAGACGCCCCCCGACGTCCACCAGCCGGGCTCAGCCTTTCTCGGTCTAGCTTCTCCTTTATCGCAACTGTGGGAACTTGCTCTACAACCTTTTTCGCTTTTGTGTTCTGCCTCAGTTGAGCGTCTTCCGTACCTCCAAGAAGGTGGCAGAGACCTTCCTTTGGGAATGGCATGCCCTGGGGGAGTTTATTCTACCTTGTAAAACTGTACATTTCACTGAATCCCTCATTAAAGGGGATTGGAAAAAAATTTTTAAAAATGTTTCTTTAGGGAAAGGATTAATAATACATTTGCAGATGAGATTAGGATGCGCATCAAAAGAGAAAGCTATTTAAATTCTATAGTATAGATTAGAGATAAGCATTCATGTTTTGTAGGTTATACTTAGCATGGGGGGGGGTCAAAAGGGGAGCCCGGTGAGTAAATTAGCATAGGCTTCTGGGTTGTGGAAGCAGTCACAAGGGAGATTTCCAGTATCTGTTTTGTTGTAGGATCTCTTTTAGGTTCTCTTGGGAGTTACAGATTAAGATAAATTTATACCCTCGGGAGTTTGCAGTCTAAGCTGAGTTTGGAGAGGTGAATGAGATGGTGGAGGGGGGAAGGCTCCCTTGAAAGAAAGCATAGAGAAGGTAAAAGTTGTTGTGGTACTGTATCTAGTGCAGGGGTGAAAGAAAATGAGACATTACTCTTAGGTGACATTGAGGAGGGGTGGAGATAAAGTGGAGTATTTTATAGGACACGCTGAAGATTAGTTTGAATTGGTATGTAGATTTTTTTTGGCCATTTGAGTCAGCATTTTGATATACAAAATTTTGTAAGTAAGCAAAGATTGATTGGAAGATATACAACCTAAGAAATGTTCTTTGGGGGCTTTGAAGTTGTTTTTTTAAAGATTTTAGATAGCTAAATCAAGGCATATATGTTCTTATTCCTGCTCCCCTGCTCCAAGGAACCCAGTGCCCCTGTATTTCCACGTGTTCGGTGCTAAGTAACTATTTGCTGTTTGCAAGTCAACTGCAGCTCTTCTACTGAAGAGATTTGTGCTAAAGAGTTATTGACCTGTCTACCTTTCTTGTCTGCACTAAAGTTCCCCTTCCATGAATGTCTTTTTTTTTTTTTTTAATTGTAGAGGTGAGGTCTCGCCAACTTGCCCAGGTGGGTCTTGAACCCGCGGGCTCAGGCAATCCACTCAACTCGGCCTCCCAAAGCGCTGGGATTACAGACTGAGCCACCGAGACCGGCCTCCATGAATGTCTTGATCATGGTTGTCTAAAATTGGTGATTGTGAAGCATTCAAAGGAATGTAAGGTTCAAAAAGTTGGACCCAAGTAAAAAATGTCTTATGTTTTATCATATGATCTTCTGACACATCTACATTATTCCAGAAGATATTATTTTATACTTTATATAGCATTGTTTAAAATTATTATCAAATGTAATTAGCACTCTTAGAAAAATATGTCAGGTTTAGTTTGGAGCCCACATCTACCCAAAGGTCCCCAATTTAAGAAGCATAATCTGAGGTAAAAGTGACCCTATAAATTAATTCATGTTTCAGTTTAGGTTTGAATGACCAAAATGTTATTGCCATGTTCCTCAGCGTGATCTCTAAGAAGATCATTTCCATCGTATATTAACAGATCTTTAGTTGGGAAGAAAAACAAAATTTGTAAGAGCTTATTTAACTCTATTTCTCAAAGGCAGTTAGGGTTTATCTTAGCACTTAATTTCTTAATGTGCTTCCTGTCTTCATGCTTTTACAATAGAGAGATGTAGTATACAGTATATCATGGATTTTTTTTTTTTTAATTAGTAATCTTGGAACTTGTATTGCATATAATTCACTTTGTGATTTATAGGATTAAATTGCTATCCTTCCACAGGAGTTTACAAATTTGTTTTTTTCAAGGAGCAAACAACCATGTTATCTAATGACTGATTTTTTAAATCAGTATGGCAGGTGGGTAGATTTTCCTCTTTTTTCTTTTTAAAATTTGATACCATGTCTCATTCTGTCATCCAGGCTGGAGTGCAGTGGCACAATTATAACTCATCGCAGCCTTGACTGCCTGGGTCCAGATGATCCTTCTGCCTCAGCCTCCCAAGTAACTGAGACTATAGGCATGCACCACCATGTCTGGATAATTTTTTGATGTTTTTTGTAGGAACAAGGTCTCGCTATGTTGCCCAGGCTGGTCTCGAACTCCTGGGCTCAAAGCAATCCTCCCATCTCAACCTCCCAAGGTACTGGGATTACAAGTGTGAGCCACCGTGCCTGGCTGGAAAATTTTATGTTATCAGATAACTTTATTTCTTACAAGAGTATTATTCCTAAGTACTTTAGATTATTTATTTTGAAATTTCAAGAATTGTAAGTTGGTTTATATAGTCTTATTAAACTGGCATACAAATAAAACTCATGTTAGGACCTTTGAAACTTGTTATATCTATTTTTCTTGTTATATCCATTTTCAGTTAGTCTTGATAGAGCAAAATTTAGAGATTTGTAGAGATCATGACTTGAATATACTCATTCTGTTAATTAATGAATGAAAATAACTTGCAACACCTCTTAAGTAAAAGCTGCATCTAGTTAAAATTTGATCAGATGCTTTTTATTTTCATTTTATAGCAATGTTTAAACTCATAAGTTTAATCTGTGTCTGGACAGGCCATTTTAAAGTCAGTCAAAACCAATTTTTAGTCTTTCCTTATTTACCTTCTATTCCTTTATTATAGTTCTAATAAGTAGATGAAGTGTCAGATTTTTTCTTCTACTTTCCATACAATTTAGAATGCTAATGGTTGCAATAAGACTCTCAGTCTATGTTTATTTTTGCTCCAGAACTTTTTAAATAACAACTTTTGTATTTGTGTTAGGAAAAAAAATGGAAGTTTGAGAGCTCAGTTTCTCCTTCTTTTTTAAGACTAAATCAAGGTGCTGTCATGTTCTAGATAAATATGTTTAAGGATTAACTTGGCAAGCAACTGAGATTGACTGTTATAGCCGCTATGGCCACTTGTATCTTTTATATTTTTCCAAGTGAAGTCTATGGGAGTGTACTTCTTGGAAACTCTAGCAAACTGACTTCATGGAACTTTACTTGACTGATTTTTTGTCTTTTGAAGAAAAATGAATTAAGGCTAGTTACTACAATTTAGTATGTAGCAAGCATACTACACCTGAAAACTCACTATTATACAATTTAAAAAGCAAGCCAATTTTTAAGTAAGTATGTTTGGGTTGCCTAACTGAAATTTTGAGACTTTAAAAATTGGCACATTTTTAAAAAATCAAAAGAAACGAACTTTATTGCATTGTGTTAATAATCATAATCTACATGGGAAAGTTTTCATAATGCACATGCATTTACTTTTCTCTTTTTTAGGTATCGTAGTTAATGGCCTAGTAAATATTAGCATTTCCACTCTTGAGAAGCGTTATGAAATGAAGAGTTCCCTGACTGGCCTGATTTCATCAAGCTATGACATTTCATTCTGTGTATTGTCTTTATTTGTATCATTCTTTGGTGAAAGAGGACACAAGCCAAGATGGCTGGCATTTGCGTCCTTCATGATAGGACTGGGAGCACTTGTGTTTTCGTTGCCACAATTTTTCAGTGGAGAATACCAACTGGGGTCCATTTTTGAAGGTAAGTTTCTTTTGAATTTGTTTGTTTTAAAGAAGTGTATAAAACTAGGTCATTAACTTGATATTGTAATTCATTTGTACAATAGATTTAAGTCTCTTCCACTGCCCACTACTTCAATTCATTTATTTGTTATGTGAACTGTGTGAGGTAGGAGATTACAGAGACAGACCTTCACTTCAGTCGTTCTACAAGTCTTTAATCTTCTGATTCTCTTTTCCCATATTACACACACTCCTCCTCAAGAAGAGGTGACTCGCTTTCCTTTGCTGGTGTTGAGACCTCTTTGGAGTTCTGAGGTCTGTAGTTTTTCCTTTGTGTTTTTATCTGCTGTGTCAACAGCTTTGCACCATAGACATGTTGATTCCTAATTTGAGATCAAGAGAGGTGACATTTAGAAGAGAGACTTAGTTCCTAAGAACTAAAACGAGATCTACTTTGGCTCTAGTTTAGAGACACAGAACACAGAGAAGCCTACAGTGTTGCTCTAGTTAGATGAAGAAGTACATTCTTCAAAGACTCAGAAAAGTAATTTGATTATTAAAAATATTTTTTTCCAAAATTTCATTTTTAGTTGAAAAACAATTACAGTAGAGTCAGAGAAATGTGTAATGAAAGTAGACCTTTGTTCTGTGCCTAGTTGTCAGGAGGAAAACAATCATATATTTTTATATCCTTTCTGGAGCTTTTCATAGCAAATATTGAAATAATTAGAAATAAATTCGGATGGTAACAAATTCAGAAGCTTTCAGGGATTCAGGAAGTGAATAAAAGTGTTAGAATAAGGAGACAATGGAGAATTGGAGCTGGCTATTCTAAAGCCATTAGTTTAAAAAAATTTGAGATCATTACATTTTTGTGTTAATATTGAAAATTAGTATTTGCTATAGTTTGGTTGTTTGTCCTCCCAAACCTCCTGCTAAAATTTAATTCCACAGTTGGAGGTGAGAGCTTAATGGGGGCAGATCCCTAATGAATATGTTGTCTTGTGGGAGAGATCAGTGAATTCTCCCTCTATTAGTTCCCACTGCAGCTGGTTGTGACAAAGAGTCTGGCCCCTCCCCTCTATGTATCTTGCTTCCACTCACCATGTGATCTCTGGCCAGCTCCCCTTCACCTTTTAGATGCTGGCATCATACTTCTCGTACAGCCTGTAGAAACAAGAACCAAATAAACCCCATTTCTTTATAAAATACCTATCCTCCAGTATCCCTTTTTAGCAACACAATGGACTAAGACAATATAAAAGTATTACTCTCTCCCAAGATGAGTTTTCCAATTCTAGAATGACAACAAATAGGAAAATATTCTCAATAAAAAAGTATGTTATGCAGCAAGGTTATAGAAGTGCACTTACTAGGTAAATAGACTTCATTTTAGAAGTTAAAATAGATTATACAAGCAGATAGATGAATAGAGGGTGTTTTAAGAGTGAGGTGGAGCTTGAAATGAATACAATAAGGAGAAATATAGTGTCAGTATTAGGAGCACTTAGGTAGTTTCTAGTACGTTATCCAAGATTGAACAAGGCCGACTTGATATAATTTCACTTAGTGTAGTTTTAAGAACAAGGCACATATTGCAGCCTAGGCTTTAGTTAAAGTCTAAATAGTAAGGGGAAATCTAAATATATTACTATGCCATACAAGAAAACATGATACTGGGCAACCCCCTCGGGTCCCCTCCTACTGTGGGAGCTTTTCTGTGCTCTCAATAAATCCTGCTTTAAAAAAAAAAAAAGAAAGAAAGAAAACATGATACTAATTCCATGATAGTGAAAATGTTGTTGGTTTATAGCATTTAGGTGGTAATATTTGTGCTATATCTAGGCCCTTATTCTTTGAATTGATCAGATGCTTTTCTTTTTCTTAAAGTAAACAAACCTTGTTCAAAAAACTCTCTAAACTAAAACAAAAATACGTCTTACTGTATACAAGCCTGATTTGTCTTCAGTGAACTTCTCAGCTTCACCTCTTGCATACCTGGAGTTATAGCCAATATGAATAATTATTTTCCCCCCAAAGGGAAGTGGTCACAAATTGAGGTGTTTGTGTGTGGCCAGAAAGGAAGCTAAGATGATTTCTGAGGCCATATCATAAACATTTAGTATATTACTGTTCATTGCTTAGGTTTTTTGTTGATCTAATTGACGTCTCTCATTATTTTAGTAGATTGGATTTAGTAGATTGTTGAAATAGATTAAACAGAGAAATTATCTAATCTGTAAAACTTTACTCCAATTTAAGACTTGTACTTTAAATAAATATCTGATCTGTGGCAAGTGAAAGCAAAAGTCAGGTTGCCCTTATGTTATCCTGCCATTCATACAACAGATATTTATGGATATGAACTATATGTGGCTCTGAGATAACAATAGTAAAATAGTTCCATGCCATCTGGATTTTATGTACTAGTGGGAAGGAATACACAATTATTAAGCAAATCAACATTGAAAACTTGAAGTCAACCTTGAAAAATTGAAAACTGAGGTGCATGATGAGGGGAACAAATAATATTAAGTAATAGTGTACAAAAGGGTCAATATGTAGGCCAGGGAAGGCTACTGTGATAAAATCTGGGTAATGAGTCAGCCTTCAAAGATGCTTTCCAGGATGAAGAAAAAGATGGTTAAGAGGGCCTTGGAGCAGAGAAGAGCTTGTTAGATTTTAGAAATTATCAGTTGTGGCCGGTATAGTCAAAACAAGGGAGAATGTCTGAGAGAGAAAGGTAGACACCAGGGAGGCAGTTAGATTTTGCTCCACCTACAATGTAAAGTCACGGAAGAGTTTTACACAGGGAAGTGCATGATCTCTTGGTATGGGGCTTTTTTTGTTTGTTTGGGTTTTGTTTTTTGAGTTGGTGCCTCACTCTGTCACTTATGCTGCAGTGTAGTGGTGTGATCATGGCTCACTGCAGCCTCAACCTCCTGGGCTCAGAAGATCCTTCCTCCTCAGCCTCCTGTAAGTACATCACCATGCCCGGCTAATTTTTTGTGGAGACAAGGTCTTGCTATGTCGTCTAGGCTGATCTCTAACTCCTAGCCTCTAGCAATTCTCCAACTCAGCCTCCAGAAGTGTTGGGATTACAGGTGAGGGCCATTGCTCCTGGCCTTATTTTAAAATGATAGCTTTGGCTTTTATGGTTCTGAAAGAAGAGTAAACGGGAGGAAATCACTCAGGAGGGTTGTAGTGTAGTTCAGGTGAGAGAAAGGTGCTGAGACTGGTATGGTAGCAAGAGATTGAAAGGATGGCTGATTCTCAATACATTTTAGAGGAAAAAGAGCTAGGACTCTATTGGAATTCTTGTGATGGAGGAACGTGTAATGACTCTGGTATTTGACTTGGTCAACTGGGGCCATTTTTACTATAATGTGGCAAACTTGGTAGAACAGAATTGGGAGGAGAAATCAAGAATTTGGGTTTAGAGTTTTAGGTGTGAACAGTGAATTATATCCAGTGTTGCAGTATATGTCCTCAAACATATACATAAATGTGCAAGTCATTCATAGGGCTTGATTCCTAGAAGTGAAAATGCTGGATTTGAAGGGCTTCCTCATTCTATTTTTTTGATAGAAAATATTACACTGGCTTTCAGGAAAAAAGATATTAAAATTCTCCCAATGTTACTGTCTGAAAATGCCTAGCTGCTATTTGAATTTTTATATTTTTCCCCTGAAACTTTTCCATAACAGAGATATCATCATTGTGTGTGTGAATAGATGTTTCAGAACTGAAATTGCATTATGTATTTAAAGGAACCCAGACATTTAGAAAACGAACGGAGTGTTAGAAATTACAAATCCCTTCTTTTTACAATGTACCTTAGGGTAAGAGTAAAGTGACTACATAGTGGTTTCATAGATGGTGAACAACAGCTAAAACTAATTCTAATTTTTATGCTTTATTTTTTTTAAATTTGTAAGCTAATTACTCAGTAGGTTATCTGCTATGTAGAATTATTTAAATATTTTTATGACTTGAAGCCATTTCTTCTCCAATTTAGGTAGTCAGTTATAATGGTCTGTACTTTATTTAAAACATCATAACTTTATACTTATCTGCTCAAGTAAATGAATCCACTTTTGGAAATATGGAGCCTATAGTCAAAAACCTGAATTATTTGTCTAGTAAGGAGAGGAGAAAAGAAAATTAAGGATTTAAGAAGGAAAAGGAAAACAAATTAGTTGAAAACTTTCTATAAGTTAACTGCAAACAGGAAAATGAACAATCTTCTTCCTTTTCTTTTTTTTTAAGTCAGATTCTCACTCTGTTGCCCAGGTTGGAGTGCAGTCGCACAGTCACAGCTATTGCAGCCCCGACCATTTGGGCTCAGGTAATCCTTCTGCCTCAGACTTCCAAGTTGGGACTACAGGTGTGCACCACCACGCTTGGCTAATTGTTTTTATTTTTTGTAGAGACGAGGTCTTCCTATGCTACCCAGGCTGGTCTTGAAGTCCTGGACTCAGACAAACCTCTTGCCTTGGCCTCCCAAAATGCTAGGATTATAGGCATGACCCACTGTGCCTGGTTTGACAATTTTCTTAAGTGACATAATGTAGAACATAACATTAAGAAGTTCTTTTATTAACTGAAACATACATGTAATTTAATTTGAAATGAACATTGAGGAAACTAACACATCCTTGTGCACTTTTTCTGTTGTTCTTGTTTTTTGAACTTGAAGGAAACCAAAGTCAGTGCTTACTTTGGATGAGATAATCTCTATTAGAAGAGATTAAAGTAATGTAATATAGTTAGTAAGTTGAAGAAAACAAAATATGAAATGTGATAAGCATGTATAATTTCTCAGGTGTAAGAATAAGACAAAAAGGTCAAAATGCAGCAAAAAGTGCAAAGATGTTTGGAAACTGATTGAATTTTCTATTGTTTTGTAAAAAGATTTAATTAGAGTTTAGGATAATTTTTTTTTTTTGAGTTGGAGTCTCATTCTGTTGCTCAGACTGGAGTGCAGTGGCTGCTCTCGACTACTGCAGCCTCGACCTG